CTTTACCCACTACGCCACAGTGCCGGCCCCCAACAGATGCCATTTTATACAAAATATTTTTCCCTTGTAATTTTTTTTCCTTTCTGGGGAAACAAAAGCGTGTTTTAGCAGCAAACAACGCATCTGCTTTTGATTTACTCATACTCAGATTGCTGAAATGTTGCTCCATAAGAGCTATTTTATTCCTCTTCAAACTTTCTTGAATCAAGTTTTTTGCCATTTCCTTCCTTTTGAACACTGAGTAATGTTTTGCTAAGGAAGGAATATGCAGATATCACTGTAGCTAGATTGGTTTAAAATCAAAAGGCAGGGCTTCTGCGGGGGCCTTGAGGAAACTTGCTCTATAGCCCACAGCTAAATCAGGCAGTGATTCAGAAACTCCGGGTATCTAAGGGTTCCAGAGACACAAAGGAGTTTTTGACCATAAGTCATTCCTACATGCTCCACGGTGGGACTGTATTTCCTCCTTGATAGAAAAAAAAAAATGTCAGTGGAGAAGAAACTTCTCTTGTCAGCTCGAGCTTTAAAAAGAAGAGGGAAGTGTGGGGTGAAAGGCTGTTTTTAAGCTCAGGCATATGTTAGAGGGGGAGGAAATGAGACCGAGCGAGAAATGAAGTGCTGACACCGAAGATCCTCCACGGCCTTGGGATGACCCGTGAATCTCGCCAGTTCCTGGAACACACACCAGAGAGCGTGCTTCATGTGAACGGCAAGTTTTGCAAGGAGTCATTGGCACTGAGCGAAGTCAGCAGAATTGGGTGTGATACCCATGTGGGCGGGTCCATAGGGTGAGAACCCCATTTCCGCATCCATCCATCCATCCATCCATCCCAGAAATACCAGGGAAGTCAGGCAGGAAGGACAGGAGGAAAGGGAAGCTGCATTCTCCTGATCCCTTGTTATGCCAGTGATGATGAATAGGCTTCGTCCCCAGACAACGCTGAGAGGCAGTGGCTGCTCCAGGGGCTGTGTCCAGAAGAATTCTGCAGTTTGGTCTGATTCTAGAGCCCAGAGTAGAATCCATCAAGAAGTCAGCTATGGGCGTGATTGGGGTGAGTGTCAGCCGTCACATATGTCCTCAGATGTGCCAGTGCCCCAGCGCAGGGCTGGGTAGGTGGAGGAGACCAAGGAAAGTTGGCTCAGTGCCTATCCAAGGTGGGGAGAGGGCAGAAGAGCTGGAGGCAATGGGGGGATTCAGACTGAGGGTTCACAACTCTGCCCTGCTGGTGACGCTCCCTGCCCTTTGTACACAATCCCCTTGCTACTGTGCTCAGTCAGAGCATCCGTGGGTCATCAGCTTCAACACCGGGAACTCCAGGGTGATGAGAGTGCCGCAGGTCAGACGGCCCCAGCCGCAGCCCCAGCCCCGATGCCGAAAAGGTGGCTGTACTTCCAAAAGCCTTCAAGTCTGTTTTCTCCTCTGGAAAACAGAGTAAAAACTGCTAATTTTTAGAATTGTGGTGAGGAGAATGTGTAAAAACCATTGAATGAATGTGTTTGTTTGAAAGGCAGAGAGAGGAAAGAGAGAGAGAAACACAGAGAAGTGTCCCGTCTGCTGGTTCACTCCCCAGAGGTCCACAACAGCTAGGGTTGGGCCAGGCCAAAGCCAGGAGCCTGGAATCCAGTCCATCCAGGTCTCCAACGTGGGTGGCAGGGACCCAGCCTCTGGAGCCATCACCTGCCGTCTTCCGGAACGCAGATTTGCAGGAAGCTGGTATTGGGAATGAAGCTGGTCCTTGAACCCAAGTGCTTTAAAGTGGGACGCAGGCATGAGGGTTAAGCTTAAAAGGAAGGGCCTGGCTGGCAGCAACACTTGATACATGGTTCATATTCTTACAAAAGTACCCGTGGTGCACCCTCATGGATACCCAAATCAAAACTGCGATATTTGCACGTAACCTACACAATCCTCCTGTATATTTTGCCGTCTCTAACCCCTGATGCATTTTGTTATAGTGGAATACGCTAGAACACCCCATACAGTGTAAATGTGGTGTGGACAGTTGTTTCACTGTATTGTTTGGGGAGTGACGACACGGGGGAGAAGATGCAGCCATCTTGGTCCTAACTCCATTGTCACCTGTAGTTGGGTGACGCTGCAGTTTCTATATATGGAGGGGCTGTGGTGAAGTGAGAGCTTTGTCCCCTCGAGGAGAGCCCCCCAAAAAGTGGCGAGAGGGGCTGGTGGGCCTTGTGCCTTTCTGAGGGGCAGTGGGAGTGGGAGGAAGCGCTGCAGGCAAGGCCATGCCACCAGCAGGAACCAAAGCCGAGTGAGACGCCTCAGTGGGCGGAACCTGGCACAGTCACTTCGCTGTTGGATATTTTCATATCGATTCTGGCCAGTCAGACTGGCTAGCAACCCCAGCTGTGTTGAGGCCTGGGGCTTCCTCAGAGGCCTTTCCTGAGGAGCAAACACCAGCCGGCGAGGCCTGCCTCCTGTGAGCTGGCTTTCCGGTGTCTGAGATGTGCTGGGGGCACCAGCAGGGCTGGCAGAGTTTATCGGAAGTCCTGTGAATTTCATCCCAGTGGGAGGGAGCCGAGTCTGACTGACTGTGTAGGGTCACAGAAAAGTCAGGCCTGGCCTGGAATTCAGCTCTCTTCCTTCCCTTTTGGGTCCTCGCTAATGGCTAATGGCAGAGTCATGGAGAAGGTTTTGGCCTCTGAAGCAGCCACTTCCTCGCCTCTAAAGTCCCCCGGTCAGTTGTCTCTCCTCTGTGTGCTCTGAACATGGTGGGGTGGGTGTTGGGGGGCCAACCAGAGAGCAGTGCAAAGAAGGAAGGGCCAGGCCTGGGGGTCTGCCTGGAGCAGTGCCTGCCAGGTGGCTTGGGGAGGAGGACTGTAGGACTGGGCTTGGAAGAAGAGCGGGAACCCTGCCACTGGCCTGGCTATGGCTGCCGCTGGAGGCATCGCTGGGCTCTGTCTCACCAGCACGTGAGTGCCTGTCCAAGCCTCGCTTTCTCATGTGGGAAATGAAGGCTTTGGGGGCGGGGGGAGGAAGGTGCTCGTGGACTCTGTTAGCTCTGCCCTTCTGTCGTCACTGGTGTGGTTCACACGTGGCTGGAAGAGCCAAGGAACATTCTAGAAAAGTATTTGTAGATATTTGTTCTTTCATTCATGGCTTTGTTTATTTGCACAGTGAAACTTGTACACTTGGTGCTAGGTGCCAAGGATGCCACAATGAACAGGATGGAGTTCCCTGCCCTCCTGGGCTCGTGGGGAAGGTAGAGGAATATGCACATAATTTGAGGAAGAAAGCCATCTTCTTGTAACAGGAGTGTGTGTGACATGCTCAGCCCTGCCTGGAAGGATTGGGAAGGCTGACCCAGGAGCCCGGTCTTGCAGGATGAGTAAGGTGGATGGGTGTTCCAGACGGAAGGCTGGAGCTGCCCCAGAGCCTCTCTCCAGACCCGGGTGGGGCTGAGGGAGACTTTAAGCAGGGAGTGAAGGGCAGAGGAGGAGATGCGGATGGTGCAGTGCCACTTCCTGTTGAGGTTGCTGCTCATCTAGAGAGATTTTTCCCGTCTCCTGCATCCTGAGAGACACATGGAACTTCTCATCAGGATGGCCCCAGGTCAGGTCACTGAGTGTGGTTTGCTCAGGCCAAGCACAGGAGGGGGTTTCTGGTTGCTGCTTCTTGTACAGACCCTAGCTAACGCTTGAGAGCATTATAAGAACTGTGGTGATCTTACCCGTTTTCAGGCCCCTTGCAGAATGGGGAGAACATGATCACCCATCTCCCTAGCAAGCACACCTGCTTTTTAACATAGAACGCCATCAGCTTCCAGAACCAGCTCTTCTTCCAAGCCCAGTCCTACAGTCCAGGTGAAGAACTCCCCACCTGGGGCAGCAGACGCTGCGTGCAGTGGTGAAGACGCCATCTGGGACGCCTGTATCCATGCTGGAGTGCGTGGGTTTGAGTGCTGGCTCTGCTTCGGGTTCCAGCTTCCTGCCACTGCGCATCCTAGGAGGCAGTAGGTAATGGCTCAAATATCTGGATGCCTGCGACCCTGTGGGGGACACCTGTGTTGAATTCCAGGGCTCCTGCCTTAGGCCTGGCCCAGCCTCAGCTGTTCTGGTCATCTGGGGAGTGAATCATATATATCTCTCTCTGAATCTGTGTCTTTCAATAAATAAATAAGAAAATAAGACAAACACCACCCCTCCCCCCCCCAACCTGACCTTAGGCTGTAGTCATGGGGCTGGAATGACCCCATGAAACACAGGGCTTTACAGTGAGCTGGCTGGACACTGGCTTTCATGTTAGTCATGGCCCAGGGTAGGGAGTGCATGGAGTTGATTGGTGGCCCCAGTGGTCCTGGATCTCAGCAAGTTCATTGCTGGCCAGAAGAGCAGTAATGTGCCGTGAGATCAGTGATTGGCAAGTGGGTTTTGCCAGATGGCTCACTAGCTTCACGCAAGTGTCTATGATAGTCTGAACACTTTGCATTGACTCGAGTTGGTGTTTCAGGGAGAGTGGGAGGGACTGTGCTGATGACACAGGGGACCAAGATGGGAAAAAGCGCAGAGAGACCGTGTGGGCAGTGAGAGCAGGGGCGTGTGACTCGCCTACAGCAGAGCTATTATTTTTTTTCTTCGACAGGCAGAGTGGACAGTGAGAGAGAGAGAGACAGAGGGAAAGGTCTTCCTTGCCATTGGTTCACCCTCCAATGGCCACCACGGCCGGCGCACCACGCTGATCCGAAAGCCAGGAACCAGGTACTTATCCTGGTCTCCCATGGGGTGCAGGGCCCAAGCACTTGGGCCATCCTCCACTGCACTCCTGGGCCACAGCAGAGAGCTGGCCTGGAAGAGGGGCAACTGGGACAGAATCCGGCGCCCCGACCGGGACTAGAACCCGGTGTGCCGGCGCCACAAGGTGGAGGATTAGCCTAGTGAGCCGCGGCGCTGGCCAGCAGAGCTTTCAATGGAAGCAGAATCCCTTCTCAGAGGTCTAGGGATGAGGAAAAGAGGCATTACTGGGGGGGGGGGGGGGGACCAAACCAGCAGGGTGCACAGTAATCAAGATAAATGGTATTTTAGTGCAATTAAATATTTAATTTAACTAGTTTATTTATTTGAGAGAGAGAGAGGCAGATGACAGATGAACAGAGAATCCATCCACTGGTTCACTCTCCAGATGCCCACAAGGCTGACACATGAAGCCAGGAACTTGATGCAGGTCTTCCATGTCAGGGACAGGGACCCAACTACCCAGCCATCACCTGCTGCCTCCAAGGGTGCACACTAACAGAAAGCTGGAATTGGGAGAGGAGCCAGGACTTGAACCCAGGCACTGATATGGAATGTGGGCCTCCCAGACAGCATCTTAACTGTTAGGCCAATGCCTAAAAATAAAAATTGATGTGAAAAGTCCATGATGAATAAAATACAGAATTCTAAGTGCAGATAGGATGCAATCCTGTACTTCATGACTGCTCACTCAGCTCATCCTAGTCCCAGGCCCTTGGCTTTGTACTCAAAAAAATGCCTGCTCTCAAAGCCCCAAACTTTCACTGGAGCAGCACCTGTGACTTTCAGTACACTTAGTGCTGGAGTGCTGCTGAGTTGTTCTTGTAGCTCTCCAGGAATGTGTCTGGGCGGTGTCCATTAAGCTCCATCCTCCGCATCTGCCCATCTGCCCACCTGCCCATCTGCCCACCTTGCCTTTGCCCAAGGAATAGGTGTTGGCAGTGACCCAAATGTTCCAGCAGGTGGCACTGTTGCTCCAATCAACTGTCCCTGAAAAGTGGATCCTGTGGCTGAACCAGAGATTTAAAGTAGTCACTAAGTTGCGGCTATTTTTCAAAAGCCTTGAAAGAATCCTGAGCAGCAGCTGGGGGTAAACAGTGATGCGACGTGAAGAGGACTGGAGGAATATTCTGGAAAGCTTGGAGCAAGGTAAGCAGGGCCAGATTAGTAACCCCAAGCTGGGCTGCTCTTTAGCAGGTGAGAAAAATGAGAATTGTAACCCCCCCTCCCACTTTGTTCTCAGATACAAGATAAACACACGTGACAGGGTGAGAACTAAGGGGCTGAAGGTTCTCCTCCAGGTATGGCCTGGTGGCAACAGCTCAGGCGGCCCGCGGGACCGAGCTGGAGCGCTGGCTCCGCTGCTCGCTAGCTGCGATCTTGGCCCCAGGACCGGGCTCTGCCAGGCCTGAGATTCTTCATCTTTAAATGGGGATTATTGCGGCCGCTCCCCTGAGGGCGGTTAGAGGATTAAACAAACAGAGGCACACAAGGCTATTTGCAGGCTGCCTGGCACTTACTATGCATTCGGCAGAGGAGAGGCGTTGCCCTCCACCAAGGCTGCGTGGCTCGCTTCCTGGGCCTGCCGGCCTTCTCCCCCTGTCTGCTGCATTGATTAAAGGAGATGCCCTTCGAGTGACCCAGAGAAATACCTTGATAATGAACCATGGCTTCAGCAGAGTCAACCAGAAGAATTTCCCACCTGGCTAGAGTTTCACAGGTGTAGTTTTTGAACCAGGAAGCCAGGCTGGGTTCCTGAGCTCCCCTGCAGAGCCGTCCTAGCCTTTGTGACTTGGGGACATCTGACCACCAGGTGGCTGATCCCACCTAAGCCAGGCATTGTTGCAGAAATCACCGGTGGACATGGAAGTGGACCCGAACCTTTCCGTTCCCTCAGCCCATTTCCTAACTGTTCTGAAATCTGAATTCACTGAGATGCTCCAGGTTGTTCTTCAATATCGGTGATACTGGTAATAGTTCCTGTTTATCGAGGCTTATTTTGTGTCTGTGGCTTTAGTGAGCATTTTGCATACACAGGCTCATTGAGGCCTGTGAACCACCTGGAGAGGTAAGTGAACCCATTGCACAGGCAAGTAAATGTAGGTTTAGGAAAGCTTAGTACCTTATGAGGGCTTCCTCAGCCAGGAGTTGGTACACATTTAGGTCTACCTGACCTCTTTTATTTTTCCTTACTTTTGTTTTCTTTGAAACACACACACACACACAAAGAGACATCTTCTAGGTGCTGACTCACTCCACAGATGCCAGCAACAGCCAGGGCTGGGCCAGGCTGAAGTCAGGAACCCAGAACTCAAGCTGAGTCTCCCATGTGGGTGGCAGAGACCAGATACTGAGCCATCATCTGCTGCCTCCCTGGGTGTTCATTTAGCAGGAAGATGGAATCGTAAGCAGACCAGGACTTGAACCCAACACTCTGATGTGGGGTTTGCGAGTTCAAAGAGGCATTTTAACCAGTGCATAAAACACCTGCTCCTATCTGACTTTTAACTCTGCCTCCCATCCACCCTTCCATTCATCCATCTGTCCATCTCCCTCCCTCCCTCCCTCCCTCCCTTCCTTCCTTCCTTCCTTCCTTCCTTCCTTCCTTCCTTCCTTCCTTCCTTCCTTCCTTCCTTCCTTCCAGCTGTCCCTCCATCTACTACCTGGTTAAACACAGCTATTCAGACCTAATTAAAGCAAGTTCCCTGAAGCCCCTTAGGGTGTAGGAAAATTTTTGTTGGCCTGAATGAGGGTTCTTGCTTTAAAATATAGATACGTGAGTGGACTTGAAAAAGTTTGTGGAAAAAATAGAATTAAAAGACAAGCTTATTTTGGTGCAAAAACATTGGAATCCATGCATACTGTTTCATAATATGAACTAGCTGTGTGCTTTCAGAAGAGGCCTGGTATGCAAGGCTGTGCCTCTGCAGGTGCACACAGCTTGTGACTTTCTAAGTAGCACACTCTTACCTTGGGCACCGCAGCTGGGCTGTGAGCCTCTCTTGTTCCTGCCACACCTCTGGGATTCCCTAGAGAGAGTTTTGTGCTGTGTTGGCTCACTGGGGAGGACAGCCAGACAACGTCATTCTCCGTTCTATCCTGGGATCCCTTGGCTGGCCTGGGACAAGCTAGTTGGCCAGAATGTTCTCACTTGTCAATGGGTTGCTGTTGGACAAGAAAGGATGTGTCAGAACAAGATCAGCTTGACCTTGGCCTCAGAGAGAAGAGCAAGTGCTGTCTTCACAAAGGGAAAAATGTCACCAGCCACCCAAAACCTGGTTTCACAGTGCCCAGCTGGAGAAGACAGCCACAGGTCTGAAGCTTGGAAAATACAGTTCCTGGGGTCAGCTGGGAGCCAGTGTGGAGAACCTAGAGTTCCTCTCACAGCGTGTTTGTTTTCTTCCCCCCTAATGCAGTTCTTAGCCTCCAACTTCCTATTGTAGCTCAATTTCCACTAACAAAATTGTCTCTATTACAGGAGCCCCACACAGAATCCACTGTGCTGGAATGAGGGCACTTCAATTAGTCAATTAGGGAGTTAGCTCTTTCCTGGACTTAAAAACCATTTTGTCAAATTATTTCAATGAAAACAGGGTTGACTGTATTTAGTAGCTTTATTTTAAAAAGTCACTTTTTGGTTACATTGTTACAAATTAATTTGATCTTAAATGTCAGTACAGTTTATGGATTAAGAAAGAAAAAAATTTTTTTTCAGATACAGATCCTTTTATTAAAACATAAGCCAAAAGAGTATAGTAAACTATGGAATACTGCCATTCCTTTGGGAGGTAGATGGAATGAGAAGGCTTCTCCTGCCTTGAATGTCTGCACATCTCCATGTGGAATGGCTTGCAGGAAGAGGCAGCACCTTGCTCGTGTCTTCACCCTCAGCGGCTGGCCTACACTTGACCGGGGTCTTCAGACTACAAGTGTTATTGATTGGGGACAGGCGTTTGGTACAGTGGTTCAGTCACCACTTGGACACCTACATTCCATACCAGAGTCCTTGGGTTCAAATCCTGGCTACTCTGCTTCCAATACAGCTTCTTGCAAATGCCTGGGAAGTAGCAGGTGATGGCTCAAGTACTTGGGTCTCTGCCACTTGGGTCCCTGTCCTTCCCCCACCTGGGAAACACTGATTGAGTTCCAGGCTCTTGGCTTTGGCCCAGCCCAGTCCTGACTGTTGACGGCATTTGGGGGATTGTACTTAGTAGGTGGGAGACCTCTTCACTCTCTTTGCCTTGCAAATAAAATAAAAATAAATAAATAAACAAGTGAACAAGCTAAAGTTTACTAATTGGAATTAAGACCTGGTACAGGATTCTCCTTTATCTGATTCTGTGAAATGAGATGGGTCAGTCTTTTGTCCTTTCCATTCCCGATCAATACCAGCTTCCTTGCTCAGAAAGCACAGCTAAGTAGCATCACCAGCAGAGGGGGAAGAGAACACAGACCCCACCCCTTCTCGTTTTGTTACGGACCACGGAGAAAGCCCCTGACCTCTGCTGAGCCGCAGGTCTGAGCACCTGCTCCAGTGGGTTGGAAGCTGTGCATTCACAGCTTCCCACTTAATCCCCAGAAAGTCACAAAGCCTCTCATGTCATCGCCCTTTAAAGATGCGGAAACTGAGTCTTAGCATGCCAGGTAACTGGCGCCAGGCGTGGCGCTGGGGTTCACACGTGGGACTTGCAAATGGAAGCTCTTTGCGTGATGCCAAAGCGCCTCCTGACAGCAGGGACCCGTGTGGCCGGGGGGCAGCCAGGCTCCAACTCAGAATGACACCCCGGGTTCGCAGCTTCATGAGCAAGGCCGTGTCTAGGGAGCCAGCCTGAGCGCTCCAAAACGGAGCTGGCTCGGGACTGAATAACCAGTTTCGCGTTTGAGGTGGTTTTGAGTAGGAGGGACTCGAAGGCTTGTCTAGATGGAAGATACTAACTTATTCCTGTTGATTTTTTTAAAAAAATGATTTATTTATTTATTTGAAAGGCAAAGTTACAGAGAAAAAAGGAGAAAGAGGTCTTCCATCTGCTGGTTGGTTCACTCCCCAAATGGCCGCAACGGCCGGGGCTGGGCCAGGCTGAAGCCAGGAGCCAGGAGCTTCTTCTAGGTCTCCCATGTGCTTGGGTGCAGGGGCCCAAGGACTTGGGCCATCTTCCACTGCTTTTCCAGGTTGTTAACAGGGCACTGGATTGGAAGTGGAGCAGCTGGGACTTGGATCAGTGCCCATAGGGGATGCTGGCACTGCAGGTGGTGGCTTAACTGCGCATTTATTTTAAAAGGGCCCTATCTAAAGCTGCTGAGGTCTGCTTAAGTCTGACATAGGAAGACAGGTGAGTTGCAAGCACGTCGATGAGAAAGTCATTTCCACCTGTCAAAAGAGCCCAGCGAGGCCTCATAGGTTCTACTTACAGCCTCAAAAAGAAAACCTTATTTCTAGCCCCACCCCCCACCATGCCCCGGTAGTGACTCTAATTAAATTTCTGTTGAGCATTTTAAAAAATCCGATTTGCATGCCGCTAAGAAGTGCCATGAATGTCTTGTTAAGGTGCCCATTTCCTGCCCTCATGCAACCCCGCGAGGTGGTGAGCTCCTGGTTTAATCCTTGTCTTTGCCTCCTGCACGGTCATCAGCCATCTCTGAGCCAGAGAACCCAGTTAACCCATCAGGAAAGCAGGGCCTGGTGGGGAGCTGTGAGGGTCTGAGGCGCAGGGGTTCCTCCGCCAGGAGCTCCCTTGTTGAATCTGGCTGCTTACAGACTCCCAGGACCGTCCTTGGTGCCAGGGGATCCCAGGTGCTGAGTTGATTACTCAGCCCATTTCAGTCGCCAGGTGAGTTGAGGCCAGTGTTTCTCCTTGGCGTGGCAAGTGGAAAGGAGCGAGGGAGTGACAAGGAGAGACTAGGGGATGCCACAAGGCAGGCCCACGGCTTGCTCAGTGGCCCTCAGCAGGTCAAGGACATTCAGCACGAAGCTTGCAGGTAGGACAACGCAAGAGCTAGGTTGGTTTTACTGCGTCCCCACTCTCACCACCTGGAAAGGGTCTCTGGGCATGTTTTATACAGGAAATCCATCTCACATCTTGATGCCTTGAGCTTCCATTGGGTTCCTTTGAGAGAACTCTCTGGATTGGCTGCATACACAGCGGCCTTTATTCCCACGGCCCCGGCGAGTCTGGGGTCAAGGCGCTGACAGGGGTGGTCCCTTCCAAGGGCAGAAGGGCCTGCTCGCAGCCTTCCTGCTAACTTCTCGGGATTTGCTGGCACGGTTGGCCTTCCTTGATGTGCAGATGTGGCGAAGAGATCGCGGCTTTCATCTTTACCTGTTCACGTTTCAGAAGGGCACCATGATCCCCATCTTGAAACTGACTCATCTGCAGCGTGCGGTGCTGGGGTTAGGACTTCAACACGTGCATTTTAGGGAACACAATTCACAGTGCAACCCACGAGCCTCCCTGTAGCACTTCTTCACCAGTGTCTGAAACCGGAGCCGTGGTCATCCATCTACTTGCTTCCCTGGGGTTAAACTGAAATCCCTGGGAGCTCTTGGGGGAAATGATGCCAGGATGCCCAGCAAGACTGCAAGACCCTGGGAAAATAGCATCGCCAAGGCGCTTGGCTCTAAAAACAAGTTGATTACAGAACGTGTTACAACGTTCATGGGTCCATATGCGGTATAGGGATGTGTCGGAGAACTAGAATGGGTAGCAAAGGATCATTTATTCATGTATGACTCTGTAGGGTCCAGATACTCTTTCTTCCTGATCTTCCTTGCCAAATGCATTGTTCACAAGTGCTCTGGGCACCTGGTTAATTTTGTTTCTCCTCCCATTTTTCTAAGAGGAAGGTGGCAACGCTGTTATTACAGTGCCATGGCTTCTGGGAATAGGTTCGTAACCCAAGAGGACAGAGCTGCTCCCTTGTTGATGGTGAGCTGACTCCTCCAGTGGGCTCCCTGGGCTCCTGTGCCTCCCCTTGGGTGATGGACATGAAACGCCACTCTTCCCCAGTATGCAAGGATTGTGAAGGGGAATTCTTTCCTGCCAGTAAATGTTTTCCAGCATGAGTGTAGACTGTCTTCACCTGAGTTGTGAACACACCAGGCTGTCATTACTATCTACCTGGAGCTCTTTCCTGGGGACTGTGCCGCCTGCCACGTGGCACCGCCAGCCCTGCAGGCAGCTATCTGTGGGATGATGGACATGTGTGGCCCTGCTCCTGCAGGTATCTGCCCTGCTTGGCTGGCAGGAGCAGCATCACATCACCACATCAGCAGGAGATGAGAGAGGACGTGGGTCAGCAGGGCCCATTGTGTTGAGGAGCAGCAGCCTGGAGAGCTCCTGGGAAGACCCTGGAGCCTGAGGCAGAGGTAGGTAGTGGTATCAGGTGTCCTCGGTGGGGCCTGCAGCGTGAGCCATACTGCTCCTGGTGCTCAGCTCCCTGGATCTGAGGACATTCCCACTTTGGTGGCCCAAGCAGATATTCAACATCAGGGATTGGCTTCCAAGTCAGGCGTCACCTTGTGGCCCCACCTGTTGTCCTAGAAACAGTATTCTGGACAGCAGCAGTGACAGGTGTTGTGACAGCCACAGAGTTGGAGTCCTCAAGCTCTGTGGGCACGTGTGTCCTTGTCCCCACTCAGGATGCCCTAGGGGAAGACCCCAACAGCTCCTGCACAGCCAGGGACCCATGAAGGACCAGGACAGTTTTGAAGAAGGTGCCCCACTGTGTAGGGCTGTGGCTGTTCCTCTTCCTGGGTGTCAGGGCCACACTGATACCCAGACCACAGCCCTGGGCTGGGGGGTAGGAGAGGAACCTTCCCAGGTGATTGCAATGTTTAGCCGGGCTTGAGAAGCCCTGGGATCCCGCCTCCTGAGCCCCAGGCTTGCCAGCACATTGGAGTCACCAGGTAGGTTTAATAAAGTCCAACACCTGGGCTCCGGGCCTTGTGTTTGTGATGCAGTTGGTTTCTGGGGTAGTCTCACATTGGGATTGGGGGACCGACCCTTCCACTGAAAATGGATTTTTAAAATCCCCCAGGCATCCCTGCCTGCGACTGGTCGGCAGTTAAGTGCTGACCTTGGTGTTCCTTTTGATGCTGGTTTTGCAGGGGATCCCACAGTGCCACTCCATCAGCGCCTGATTGGCTCCTCACCCACACTGGTGGCAGACAGCGCTCTGGGGAACTAGGACAAACTGCATCACCGGGAAAAATATTGCCACCATGGTCGCACCTGGCCAATGGGCCTAAATACCAGTGTGGAGAGTTCAGAGACAGCACTAGCATCTCCAACCCTCTGCTGCAGGCTGTCTCGTCTGCCGTGGACCACACGCTGATTCCACTGGGGACCCCAGGGGTGCAGCAGGTAAGTCTGAAGCTGGGGGACCATCAGAACCTGCCTCCTGCATGGAGATCCACTGCCCTTGACAGTGTGTGTCTGGAGAGGCCAATAACCGTACCAGAAATCAAAGCCATCTTGATGTCACCATACCTGAGAATATCATCCATCATAGTGCATAATATCTGTGATTGACACAATGCAGACGAGTGTCTCAGGCATTTCAGGCAAGCTCTGCCTGTTTCAGACCATAAACCCATTCACTCCCGTCTGCTGTGGTAGTGGTAGGTGCTGTCTGGTCTAAATCACTTCCTGTATGTGTGTATGCATCTCCGTGCTGGACCTATTCTTCCCCCAGGTTACTGGAACAACTTTTTTTTTTTTTTTTTTAAGATTTATGTATTTATTTGAGCAGCAGAGTTACAGAGAGAGGGAGAGACACAGAGAGAGGTCTTCCATCTGCTGGTTCACTCCCCAAATGGCTCAACAGCCGGAGCTGGGCCAATCTGAAACCAGGAGCCAGGAACTTCATCCAGGTCTCCCATGTGGGTGCAAGGGCCCCAGTACTTGAGCCGTCTTCTAAAGCTTTCCCAGGCCATTAGCAGGAAGCTGAATGGGAAATGGAGCATCCGGGAGGCTTAATCTATGCCACAGTGCCAGCCCCAACCGGAACAACTCCTATTTGCTCCTGAAAACCCTCCTCCAATGTCCCGCCCCTTGGCGCACCTCTGTTCCCCTCCCAGTTAGAGGGCATTGCCGCCCGCTCAGTCCTTGGGCATGGTATGTGTTTCTGCCTTTCCCCGTTCCTCAGTAGCACAGCTTACGTGCACATCTATCTGGTTCATCTACAAGCTGGATCCTCTTTGAGGGCAGACATTATGGTTCATATCCGTTTCTCTTCCCAGTGCTTAGTACCAGGTCTGCGGTAGAGCAGACCTCGTAAGGATTTGTTAATTAAAAGTCCTGGTTTTCATTAAAAAAAAAAAAAAAATCGCTGTGATGTCCCAAATGCTCCCAAGTTGTGGCTACTTGAAATCCAAAAGGAGGTTGCCGATGCCTTTTTTCTGAGTCAGCTGTGGGACTCTGTGCCCAGAGAACCCAGAAGCGAGGCTGGGGGTGGGGGTTCCCTGATCCTGGGCCCCCAGGGAGGGGGAGCCAAGAGGGCAGAGGAAGGCGGCCCAGAGCAGCAGCTGGCCCAGCTGTGGGGCCGGCAGCCGCCTACCCTCTTTGGCTCCTCCCATGCACTTGGAGCCTCTTGGACAAGCCTGGCATTGTCTGCCTCCAGTGTGGGGTCAGCGGCCTTGCAGGAATGGCATGGTTCTACTTCCTTAAATAGTGACTTGGGAATGAAATGAGTAACGCGTCTTTAATTAGCCATGCCCCAGAGGCCTGTTGGGGGCTGGGAGAGGGTGGGCTGCCGGCCAAGATCAGCACCGTGTGGCTGTGGCTGCCGTGGCGTCTCCACCAAGGCTCGGTGGGGTGCTTTCTCTGCCCACGGTGGGCCTGGCTGCCCCTGCTCCATTCTGCCACCGCATCTGCACGATGGGCTGCTCATGGAAGGAAAGACGCTAACCTTGTCTGAGCATCTGCTGTGGGCCAGCTCTGTGCCAGGCACAGGGAACTGCGGAGTCAAAGATGGGAGTGGTGAGAGCCGAAGCCGGGCAGCGCGGGCCCCGGAGCAGCGCCGCAGTCAGAGGCGGGCGCGCGCACAGAACCGCTCCAGTTCTTCGCTCTCCTAGAGAAAACATCTTCCAGCCCTACCCCGCATGCCACGTCTCTCCTAAACACCCTTCTTTGCTCCTGTCTCTTTGGTTTTCTCACCCCGGCCTTTGCGCTTCAGTGACAGAAGAGGATGATGTGGCAAGGGGACATCTGTCCGCGGAGAGTGCCAGAGGGTGGAAAGCAAATGGGAAGAGAGAGCCTTGTTAGCTGGGGGGCGGGAGGGGGGCAGGCTGGCAGTGCTTCTGGGTTAAGATTTTTGCCCTGACACTTGGGAGCGGAGGTGTGGCCACAGTAGAGCTGGGGTGTAGGGTGCGGAGGAGGTGTGAGGGACAAGCCCTGGGTGGCTGTGACCACTCCCAGAGCGTGGAGGGAAGACTAGACCTCACCAATGACAGAGGGATTTCCATTCAGAGGGAATGAGGCCCTGGGGGGACTGGAGTCCCTAATCTGTTGCCCAGCTTCTGCTCCCCAGGCTTTCCTGGGGTCCCCCTGGGGCCCTAGTAGAAGGATGCTAAAAGGCTGGCAGGGTACCAGGGGAGAGGAGACTGTGCCCAGATGAATAGATGAATGTCCTCTTCCCGAAGAAGAAGAGAATGCCTAGGCAGGTCTGGGCAGGGCAGGGCAGGGCAGGGCTGCCTTGGCCCAGACCACCTTGGCTCTCCAAGGAATGAGCTGGAAAGCTTGCCTATAAACACAAGTCCCTTCTTCCTTGCCCTGGGCCTCACCAGCCCTCACGAGGTTTGTTCTTTTTTTTTTTTTTGACAGGCAGAGTGGACAGTGAGAGAGGGAGACAGAGAGACACAGAGAAAGGTCTTCCTTTGCTGTTGGTTCACCCTCCAATGGCTGCCGTGGCCGGCGCGCTGCGGCTGGCGCACCATGCTGATCCGATGGCAGGAGCCAGGTACTTCTCCTGGTCTCCCATGGGGTGCAGGTCCCAAGCACTTGGGCCATCCTCCACTGCACTCCCTGGCCACAGCAGAGAGCTGGCCTGGAAGAGGGGCAACCGGGACAGAATCCAGCGCCCCAACCGGGACTAGAATCCTGTGTGCCGGTGCCGCAAGGCGGAGGATTAGCGTAGTGAGCCGCGGCGCCGGCCCGAGGTTTGTTCTTAAATCTCCGCTCAGCCTGGGCTCCACCTATCCTACTTTCCTCACTCTGTCTGCCTCCCTCTCCACAGACTGACTTGTGCTTCTGGGTTCGTGTGTTGAACTGTGATTGATAACAATGATGTTGCTGGTGACCAAGAATCCTAGGAAAACAGTCTCAGGAGACGCCAAGCCTGGTCCCTGGGGCCAGTGGCATCAATATCGCTGGAGCACTTGCTGGAGGTACAGGTTTGGGGCCTGTCGAGGGCCTGCAGAGGCATAGGGCAGGGATCCGCGGTCAGGGTTTGAGCGAGCCCTTTGGCCTGTGTGCAGGTTCTCTGGGCTCAGTGGAGCTGGAGGGGCTGCTCAGTGCTGTGGGGTTAAGCTGATGAGTACAGTGGATCTCCCCCACCCCCATTCTGCTCAGAATGGACGCAGAAGCACCGCCTGCCTTGCCCAGACACCCTGTCAGCTTGACAAAGGCCAGATGTTGCGTCAGAGGTGGAATTCTGACCCCTGGGCAGGAAAGTGAACCTTGGCTGTGCCGGGTGGGGGAGGGGTACAGGCTTCAGCAAGGCCAGGGTTCCCGCTGCAGGGGTTTCAGTTCCAGGATCACAAACACATCTCTGCCTTCGCTACTGGCTCTAGGGCAGTCCCCCCGCGCTCCTTCCCCTCTCCGCAGCTTCGACGCCTAATTCTTCTCCAGCTTGGAGCCCAGCAAGGGGAAATGGACTGTGACAGAAGTAGGAGAAATTCAACTTCGCTGAGAGGGACTTTCTGAGGGCGACGCCTGGAACAGATTTTGGGGGCAGCTTGCGCAATCACCCTTGGGCCCCTCTTGCAGTGTGTTGTGGTTAAGGCTGGAGCCTGAACTGGGCTCCCTCTGGGCTTGCTTTTGATTGAGCTCTGGGAGATTTAACCTCTGAGTGTCTCTGTGGTCTCGACCATCAGTTGGTTTTTACCATTTGATTTATTTTATCATTTCAGAGAAGAGAGAAAGGGAGAGAGGAGAGGGCTCCCATCTGCTGGTTCACTCCCCAAATGCCAGGGAAGCGGGGAACTCCACCCAAGTGTGCCACATGTGTGGCAAGGACCCAGGTATTTTTTTTAATTTATTTTATTTTATTTTTTGACAGGCAGAGTGGACAGTGAGAGAGAGAGACAGAGAGAAAGGTCTTCCTTTGCTATTGGTTCACCCTCCAATGGCCGCCGCGGCCGGCGAGCTGCGGCTGGCGCACCGCGCTGATCCGTTGGCAGGAGCCAGGTACTTCTCCTGGTCTCCCATGGGGTGCAGGGCCCAAGTACTTGGGCCATCCTCCACTGCACTCCCTGGCCACAGCAGAGAGCTGGCCTGGAAGAGGGGCAACCGGGACAGAATCCGGCGCCCCGACCGGGACTAGAACCCGGTGTGCCGGCGCCACAAGGCAGAGGATTAGCCTAGTGAGCCGTGGCGCCGGCCCTTGGACCCAGGTATTTGAGCCATCACCTGCTGCCTCCTGGAGCACACATTCGCAGGAAGCAGAGACAGGAAATGAACTTAGAAACTACAATATCAGGTGCTGGCTTTCTGAGCAGAGTATTTTTTTTGAAAATTTATTTATTTATTTGAAAGGCAAAGTTAGAGAGAGGCAGAGGCAGAGAGAGAGGACTTCCATCCACTGGTCTACTCCTCAGATGGACGCCAATGGCCAGAACTATGCTGATCTGAAGCCAGGAGCCAGGAATTCCTCTGGGTCTTCCCACGTGGGTGCAGGGACCCAAGGACTTAGGCCATCTCCCAGTGCTTTCCCAGGCCATAGCAGAGAGGTGGATTGGAAGTGGCGCAGCCGGGACTCGAACCGGTGCCCATATGGGATGCCGGGACTGGAGGTGGCAGCTTTACCCACTGTGCCGGCCCCTGAGCAGAGTCTTAACCACTGAGCTAACACGCTCACCCCTTGAGTATAAATTGGGAGTCACCATTGAAGACCATGGCGGGTATGTGCGAGGATTAAAGGAGATAATTCATTCTAAGTAAGCACTGTCTTGGTGCCTGGTCTGTAAGAGCTCACTGAGTGTCCAGTGTGACGCAGGCGTCCCACTCAACACACGCTTGCAGAGCTGGGAGTGGGGGGTTCACATCCCAGCCTGAGACAGCCGCCGGAAGACCCCAGAAGCAGGTTCTGCGGCTGTTCTGCGTGATTAAGTTACAGGGGAGTGGTCCTGTTTCCAGGGCTTACT